CAAACTGTGCAGCCTCTCAAACTGTATGTTACATTCGCATGTGCGCTAGTTAAAGTTAACAGGCAGTTGCTTCTGTCTAAAGTTTTGCAGCATTTCTTATACAACTTTTATCTGTTTTTGAGTTTATTTTAAAATCTAGAAAACATTTAAATATTAACCAAATGGTATTTGAAAGCGAGATTAATTAGTACAAAGTAGGCTGGGTTTGAACCGGTCGAAAATTGGGCTGGGTAAGCAAAACCTAAGACCATGAATCGAACGAGGAACAATTTTCCTTGAACTCGCTAAAGCTTTCTCATGCTACCCTAGAACAATTGTAACTAAAGGAATATCAATTATAAGAGACTCTAGGTACCCAGTTTACTGTATATGTATATTATCTATATAGTATAGTTCCAGTAAACTTTAGAGTAATGCAAGGGTTATTTCATGTGATATATGGATATCTGGTGCTAAAATCCCGAATGAACCGTTATACGAAACGATTCTTTCTTCAAAGTATGTAAAATCCTTTCATGATGAACCGTTACACGAAATGATTCAAAGTATTCATATGAACGATGAGTACTTTTTCGTATCTTGCTTCAAAGTCTTCATAGAGCTACTTCGTAGAAAACATGTGTCGTTTTTTTTTTCGATTCTTTCTTCAAAGTATTTATAGAGATTGTTCATAAGAAACATGTGATTGTTGCCTTATCTCGAGTGAATCATATTATTTGGCTTATATTCACATGGAAAAAGTGCATTTAAGGCTTTTCGGCATATTTCTATATTGTACAAAAATCCTTCTCTATATATATATGTATATATATTAACCGATACAGCTCAGGTTCAGATGAGATAGTTAACAATTAAAAAAACTTCTGATTTGCCTTATCTGAAGGCTGTTAACCTTATTGTTGACTTATTCAATGCTTTCGCAGTTAAATAAAACTATTTTAGATTGTTTGAAAAAAAAAAGAAAAGCTGAAACACAATTTTAAAGCGAGGCATATTTTTAGCAATGACGCTAGAGAACGACAGATATGCACACACACATGCAAACACATACACATACATATACAAATTTTATGTGCTCTAATGAATTTCAATTTGAGAAGAGCTGCAACTAAATCAAACTGATAACAACAACAACAACGAGAAGAAGATGAAGAAGAAGAAGCAAAGTGAGTCCGCGTCTGGGGCTGGACTCGAAGATGCCTGATAACCCAATTTCTAGAGCTTTAAACACAATGAAAACCACAACAACAAATAATCGCTTTAATTTACAATTTTTATTTACACTGCGGCTGCTGCGGCTGCAAGTGCATATATCACTTATACGACATGTTGTTCATATCTAACTCTCTCGCATAATTTCCGCATTCAGTTGCAGATAAATAAATAATTGAGTCAAATTGAAATGCAACTCGCCAAACAATTTTCGAGATGCACGCAAATAAACTTCGCTCATAAAGAAAGGCAAGTGTTGTTGTTCTTGTTCTTCTACATGTTGTTGTTGCTGTTGCTGTTGCTGTTGCTTGGGGGGCCCCGTTATGTCTACAGCTGGTCAGTGATTTATGCGCTGGGGTCAGCCTAAGGACTGAGCTAGCGACTGAGATCAGGCGAATGAATGCCTTTGCCATAAACAAAGCCAAGCCAATGCAAATGAAGCACAGCGGAGCATGAAGTGAGAAAGAGATGGCGAACGGCAGAGGCACTATGGGAAATTTGTGGGAATTTGCAGGCACAATGTCCCAAGCTCTTGTGGACCTTGTCAATGCAGTACAATTCATTATTGAAGCTCAGGTCTTAGTTAAAGTAATAGAGGAATACTAATATTCTCTTAAATTTCCATTTGATTTTGTTTCAGCCCACAAAAACATACTCAATTTGACAGAATTTACATAAATACCACAGAAAGTGTCCAAATTTCCCATGGTGCAGCAGCAGCAGCAGCTTCATTGAACAACAGCAAAATTTTAATTCCAATACGAAATGAGGCAGCAAGTCAAAGACAGCCGCAGCTGCGCGCCCGGCTCTCCCCTTCATCCATTTACCAATCACTTGAGCTGCTGCTAATTGTCGGCAGCAGAAAAGAACATACACACACACACGTACTCATGCCAAGCTAAACTGTGCATAAGAAATTTCCCTATAAAAATGCGTTCGAAATGGCTTGTTTGTTTTTTTTTTTTCTTCTTATAGGCAGATGCTGCAGCCGCAGTCGCTGCTGATAAAGTACATTTATCAAAATTCATTCATAGAAAAGGCAGCCGCAGTCGCAGTCGACGTCGCTGTCGTCAGCACCGGCAATGGCAGCAGAAAGTTAAGTGCAATCGAAACACACTCACACATGCACATATACACGCACACTTGTTGCGCACAGTGCGACAGCGCGCGCGCTCTTAAATACGCAGTGACTCTCTTGTGTGCAGCGCGCTCTTAGAAGCAATGCAATGAGCGCTCGTGCGCGTGTGTGTGTGTGTGTTTGAGTGTATTTGTTTGTGGGACGGAAAAGGAAATCGCATTTCTGTTAAATGTAGCGCGAAAAAATAATTCTTGTTGCTAAACGCAAAACCAGTTGGCGCACAGTTTGACAGCCACTGAGCAGCGCAAGCCAAACAGTAGCAACAACAAAAACTAAGATTATTAATATATAAAAAAAAAAGAATCAAGTCTTAACGTTTCTGCGGTTTTCATCGCTTTTAGCCACAAGACGTTGACGCTCTCACTCAACAGTTGCATTTGCAATCGGAGTTCGCTACGAAGTACCATGGCATTGACCACGTAACCGAGTGCGAAAATAAGTTCGACTCGAATTACAAATGCCATCAAATGCGGCTCCGCTAAACACGTGAGTCGGCTAAAAAAAAATTAAAAAAAAAACTGGCCTGAAGTGTAATCATTTATATATATATATATATATTCTTTTGCCATTTCTTTTCATATTCTCTTCTCCTACATGTACTGCAAATTTTGGACAGCCCTTTTCCACACATTTTCCGCTCGTGGAAATGCTCAAATTTCATTCGTTCTTTAAGCAAAGACATTTTAAAGAGACTACGAAAGCGCTCGCCATCAATCATTCAATCTATTAACCTATAAATTAATCAATCAATCAGTCATTCAATCAGTAAGAAGAAACCAAAAGATTCTAGCTTTCTAGCTCTAACAGTTTGGCCAGTGCGCTCGTCATCAATCACTCTATCAATCAATTAAATTATCAATCTATCAATCAGTCATTCTTTCAGTGAGATGTAAATAGAAAATGCGAATAAAATAAAGAATTCAACATTCTAGTCTTTACGATTTGGTCAGTGCGATAGTCATATTCAATCAATCAATCAATCAATCAATCAATCTATCAATCAGTCAGTCATTCTATCAGTCAGAAGAAAATAGAAAATGCGAGTAAAATAAAGAATTTAACATTCTAGCCTTTTCAATTTGGTCAGTGCGCTCGTCATCAATCAATCAATCAGTCAATCTATCAATCAGTCAGTCATTCTATCACAGTAAATTAAAGAATTAAACATTCTAGCCTTTGCAATTTGGTCAGTGCGCTTGTCATCAATCAATCAATCAGTCACTCATTAAATCAGTGAGAAGAAAATAGTTGCATATGTGAGTGTAGAAGCTGCTGCTGCCTCTGCCGCTGGCGCCATGGCAAAAGTCATGTTCCGGCGATAGCCTCTGGCGTTGGCGACACTTTTAAAATTCTATTTTCAATTCGAATCCACAAATGTCGCAATCAGCAGACTGTGCGACATGCTATCAACCATCAATGCCGCCAACATAGCAATAAACCTAATTAAATTTGTACGATTTCGTTTTAGGTTTTTTTTTTGTGCTCGGCTTTGTCTCAGCTTGATAAGAAATCGGAGCAACATATTTAGCCTTAGCATAGGACACAAAACTAATTTCAATTTACAAAATGACGAAATCGTTTCTTTTTCCTCAGTTAAATTCGCAAAAGATTATGTTCAAAGGCTTCTTTCGGTGCTCTTTAGTTCCAATATTCCGTTTAAAGTGGAGCTTTCGCTTAAAGCTCTGTGAGCTTTCGTTTAAAGCTTCTCGAAGCTGAGCTTTAAGCAACTCTCCAATAGAAACTTTTTATCTAAGCATGAGTTGCCGGACGCTTAAGAGCTTTAAGAAAAATGTAGCATAGTTCAAGGGGCAGCCGAAAAAATATTAGAGTAAATTGCTTTTAAAATATTTCAAATAAAAAAACTAAATAAATATACTCTTAAAAATTTAAAAAAAAAACTTTGAAGTTTTCAAAAAATGTTAAAAATATTATTTGTAAATATACTAAATATGCTTAAAGCGCATAAAATAAGTAAATAAATTCTTAAATGCGCGTAATATCTTGCATTTATTTAGGTTCTATTTTATGTTGATTGCTAACCGGAAATATTCAATGGCAATTTTGAAATTGTGATTTAATGCTCAGCATAAGAAGGAAGGAAGAGCCAAGGGTTATCGCAGCATTGATAGCACGCGTTAACCTTTGACAAGCAGATTGCCAAATCTGAAATGTGAAAACAATTATCTGCGATGACATAATAACACTGCGCCCGACATCAATTGAACTTCGAGTGGATCAAGGAACCCAGAAGAGATGCCAAGCTTAATACAGAAGAACGAACTCTTTAAGAGTTTATCAAGGCGAATGAAGAGTTGCCGGAAATATAATGTATAGGCAATAGAGTGTGGTAGGTGGGGGATGGCGGGTTGGGGGGTGGGGGAGGGGGCATTGTGTTTTGGATGATTAAATGCAGCAAAGCTGACCTAATTTTCGAGCTGGTATGCATATAGTTTGTCATGTAGATTAAGCACAGTTATGAATCAGTTGAAAATGCGGCTGAAAAAGTTCGAGAATGTATGCAATACAGTTTGAAAAGCACTGTATGCTATAAGTTTGACCAGCACTGGACGGAGCAAGACAACAGTTGTGCAGGCATTGATGCAAATTAATGAAATCTTTAAATATGATATATTTTGTATAAGCTACTCACCTTTGCCGCCGCAAAGGACACAACGCTGGCAAACAGATAGACTGCGCCTAGCACACCCGAGAGACCAGCTAGATCTCTGGGCAACATCATGGTGGCAAGCCTGACCACAAGCTCGAACTGGAACTGGTACTGCAACTGGAACTGGAACTGGAACTGGAACTGGACAAACTTAAAATGTCACTGCGAAAACACACACGAAACTGCGAAAAATAAGCATTGATGATGTGTGATAAGAAACCGTTGATAAATTATATACATATATAGGTTTGTGCAAAAATTTCCTTTTAGAAATATTTGAAAATTTTTTTGTTTTTTTTTGTTGTTAATTTGAATATTTGTAGTTACTGGAAACGAACTAACACAAAATGCTGCTGCGTGCGGGTTCGCCACTTGATTTGCTGTGCTGCTGCGTTCGTCGAGCACAACACACTCCCCACATGTGGCGATCGTCAAGCGTTCAAAATGCTACTAAAGTCGGTCGGCACTGAAGAAATTTGAATTCGTTTGTTGCCAGCGACAGAGTCGTGCGTCGTTCGTTAGCCTTCGGCTCGCGTTCGGCGCACGCATACAGCGACAATGCTCGGTGTGCTTGTGTGGGTGCGTTTCGTTTCAAACGTTTGGGATTGGGCTTCTGGATGTTTAAGGGGGGGTGGGAGGGCTGCGCAGCCTGTTGAATTTAGCACTTTGTTGCCTTGAAATGAGGAAACGACAACAACAACAACAGCGACAGCAACAACGACACATATAATTTCCCTTCATATTATAATTTCCCTACTTAGCTGCTTAGTTTGTTGTTGTTGCCGCCGCCACCCAGCGATTAGGCTAAGGCTTTTTCATTTAATATAACGGCTGATAACACGCTATAAGGTTGCGTATTTCCTGTTTGAAAATGAAAAATCAGCTCTTTTTCAAAATAATTAGTACGCTGAATTAACAAAAATAGAACTTTACGAAATACACACACACACACACACACACACACACACACACACACACACACGCATGTATTTGAGGTCAGTTTTGAAATACGCACAATCAAGGCTTTGTGCGTTGTGCAAGATTATTGTTAAATGCTTTAGCATACATACTATCTGCTAGTCGACCCACTAGTCTCAATAGACATTTTTTTCAATCAACTTTTCTCACTCGATTTCCTCGTAAAACAACGCATCTGAATTAAAGAGTGAAAACCATAGAAAATAGTTATTGAGGGCATTTCGTCTGAGATCCTAAGTCTGACTTTTGATTATAATAATAAACATTTGGTATATTTTTAATATTTTGTATAATTTTTTTAAATACTTAAAAGTATCTTTATTTTATTTTGTTTTTACATATTTTTTTTTATTACTCCAAGTCCTTTTTGAGCTTTTTAACTAGATCAGATTTGGATCAGACAAAGAACTGGAACTAAAACAGTTCATTCTTGAACCAGTTCATGTGTCAGAAACTCTTTTTGTACAAACGTATTAACAAAGAGACTACAAAAGAAACTTTTTGAGTAATCTAAAAATCCCATTTTATAATTTTTAGAGAACATTCAAAAATCGCCATTTGTTTTTTTTTTGCATGAAAGCCACCGATCCACCAAAAAAACAAAACCTTCAGGTCTTATCAGAGGTTTTTTAAAATTAAGTGGACCTTGACTGAAAACCCCAAAAAGAGACGCAAAAATACACTGCGCGAAATAAATAATAATTGCAATAAATAATTATAATCGTATGACTAAAAAGTTAAGAAATGAAGGGCTAGAAATTTGAAAAATAAATTCGAATTTTTGCAAAATTCACCTTTGAAAAAAAAGTCTTCTAAATGTAGTAGGCATTTTTTTCGAGTGCAGACAGGACTCGAAATTTAGCACACAAAGCCTAAGTCAAGCCGGATCAAGCCCTAATCAGAGCGTCAATGGCAAGCTAAAGCGGAACTCATGTGCCCGATCTTTCAATTGGGCTATCAGCCCCTTGTAAAGCCGTAGTAGGTGCTCAAGGGGCAGTGTAAGGGCGTATCCAATAGTAGCCTCGGCTGGAAATGCTGTAAGCGCAGGCACAGCTCCTATCGCCCCCCAGCAATAACAGCAACAAATTCGAGAAGAACCCGACTGGCGAATACCCTGCGAGCAACTGTCTTTATAGAAACAATTTTGGCAGAAGCAAAAAGGAACTTTCATAGAGTTTGCATAATCACTGAGAGCTGCTTAAGAACTTTCCATCGATATTTATCGATTTATCGTATAGAATTTGGATTGAGGCAAAGAAAGCTTTTAAACGAATTTAATCTATATCAATCGTTTTACTTAGGGGCTATTGAAAAAGAATAAGCATATATATATATATATATACTTTAAATATCAAATACATTAGGCTTTTATAAGCATCGATATATATCGATTTATCGGTTACTTGGGGTCATAGAGAAAAAACAAGCACATATACTCTACATTTCAAGTAAATAGAGCTTTTATAACCTCTTAAATGTGTTTAAAAATATGGTCTCAAAATCGATTTTTATCGATGCGTTAAATTTCAAGTTCCCAGCTCTTATAGGATATGGCTAGATCAGCTCAATTGTAGTCGCCCCACTTTTCTGGGGTCGGAAAAGGCAGCAACCTTTTGCCCGTGGCGCGCGTTGGCAGTCAAGCAATATACCCATGTTGAGATTATTTAACAATGGGTATTGCAAGAACAAAGAACAGCATCTAAGTAAGCGACTTAGTTTCAGACTTATCACCCATTTTCATTCATATTCATGTTCATATTGCCAGTTGGGTTAGCTGCGCGCTTTAATGTTGCTTCACCCATCCGTTCCACATGTTCCACAGCACACACACACCAACACACACACGCGCGCTCACACAGACGACACGGATAGCGTACGTGAGCTGAACATCGTTTGCCGCTCGTCACACTTCGTGCGAACGATCGTGCATTGGCCGTTTGGGTTTTTGGCTGGCTGAAGCTTATACTATAATTAGTCGTGTTCCGTCTTCTCGAGTAAGTAGGCTGCTTCTGTCTTTAGTCTTGGGTCGCCTGTTGCCTGTGCTGTGTGTGTGCCGCTCGCGCTCGCTTGTGTGTTCGTTCAGTACGCTCCAGTCGATCCATAAAGTTGGATCACTTTTCTGTAAGGAAGAGCAGCAAAAAAATATAAAAAAAATAGAAAACCAAAGAAAATAAAAACAAAATATTTAAATAATTCTCAATAAAAAAAAAAGAAAACAGTTAATTAAGTGCTTTGTTGCCTTTAATTTTAGTAGTTAAAATAATTGAACAATTTTAAATTATTTTAAGGCAAAGCTACACTTTGTCGAGCATAGTGCCTCTCAAACTGTAACGTGTGCGCTGCTTGAACTGCAACTGAAACAGAAACGCAAAAAACAAAACTTTTCAAATATATTAAAAATAAATTATTTTTTAAAAAATTTTTATGAATTATTTTATCCAACAAAAAGTTCTTTGAAATTTGTAAGAGATCATGAAAATTTTTAAGTGCCTACTTTTCTGCCTTGCAGGCCAGCGACGGCAACATATTTATAAGTTAACAAGGACAGCGGGAAATAACTGTGCGGCCAGAGTGCATAGGGCATCATGTTGCCCCACTGGAAGCGGTAAGTAACTGTTTATTCAAAATGTTGAAATTATAAAAATAATAGATGTATATAAATATGCCACATAATTTATTAGAAGAAAACTTTAGTCAGAAATATGTTTTGTTCAAATGCAGTCAGAAAATTGCCAGCGGCAATGCTTTCAAAACTGTCGCACGGTTCAGTCAGTCCAGTGCCTGTCAAATATGGCAAATCTAACGCACACAGTCGCAACGTTCGCCGCGTTGCGTTTCGGCTGCAAAAGAGACGAAGGCGCGCCGCTCTTAAGCAGCGCCGCTCTTAACGCTGCGCTCGCTCTCTTACACACACACACACACACACACACACACACACTGACAGAAGCACGCTGTCGTTCGCGATAAGCGACTTGACAGTTATTTTGGTTTAAACACATGACGTTATCGAACGGAACATAAACATAAAACGCAGCGAGGGTTTTCGAAATTAACCTTAACTGAACTTTAATTAATTATTGATTTATTTATTTGTTTGTTTGTTTGTTTGTCGCTTTCAGGCTGCTGTTCGCCGCTGTAATTGCTGGAGTATTAGTTAATACGAATGCTGTAAGCCTTAATTAAGCTGCGATTTGGCGGTCGATTAAATCAATGCGTATTATTTGCAGCAATTTTGGAAGAACCCTGGAGCCACGGGCTCAATTCAAGAGTCGGTGCGGCACCACAGCAGAGATGAGCCCAGAGAATCATTTGTGATTGATGAGAGTTACGATATTGTCGATTCGGCGAGCATACAGCGCGGCGGTCAACCGCCCAAGAACTGTACATCCGGCTTTGCGGGCTGTATGCCCAAGTGTATTGCCGAGAAGGGTAATCGCGGCCTGCCGGGTCCCGAAGGTCAGACGGGACCCAAGGGTATTAAGGGTTATTCGGGCCCAGAGGGTCCACCCGGTGACAAGGGTCAGAAGGGTGATCCGGGTCCGTTTGGAGCGCGTGGCTATAAGGGCGAACGTGGAACGCGCGGCATACCCGGCTTGCCGGGTGTAAGTGGTGTTCAAGGACCTGCCGGTAATCCTGGCTTGCCGGGTATCAATGGCAAGGATGGCTGTGACGGCTCCGAAGGTTTGCCCGGCTTGCAGGGTCTTTCTGGCATGGCTGGTCCACGCGGTTACCCAGGCGGACCAGGTCTCAAAGGCGAGAAGGGTGAGCCAGCCAAGGAGAATGGTGACTATGCCAAGGGTGAGAAGGGTGAGCCTGGTTTCGCCGGCCGCTCTGGCTACCCCGGACCCGAAGGACAACGTGGTGAGAAAGGCGAGCGTGGTGACACGGGTCCTTACGGACCGCCAGGACCTCGCGGTGATCGCGGTATTAAGGGTGAGAAGGGTGCCGCTTGCTTTGCCACAGCCATGCCCGGCGAAAAGGGAGACAAGGGCGAGAAAGGTGATCCGGCACCGAAGCTTCCAGTCCACGGCAGCGACACAGTTATGGGCCAGCGTGGTGATGTTGGCCAGAAGGGTGAAATTGGACCTATGGGCGAAAAGGGTGGCTTGGGACCGGTTGGTGAACCAGGACACGATGGACAGAAAGGCGAGAAGGGTTTGCCTGGTGGCGCTGGTGAAAGAGTAAGTCCTTGATGAACGAACCGTTAACAAATTCAGTCTAATGCCACATCTTATAGGGTCGTCAAGGAAACTTTGGTCCCCCAGGACCTGCTGGACAAAAAGGAGATCGTGGCGAAACTGGTCTAAATGGTTTGCCCGGCCAACCCGGTTTGAAGGGTGAGCCTGGGCGCCCGGGTAATTCTGGTGAACGAGGTCTAGTTGGTCCCCCCGGACCCCCTGGTGGTGGACGCGGCCAGCCGGGCGCACCTGGACCCAAAGGA